GGTGGCAGACTGCTCACCTCCCACAGACGTCTCCCCTGTGATCATGGCACTCACAGCGGCAAGATCGTAATTTGTAAGAAATAACATCAAAATGACGATGTGCCTTACTTCAAAACACTCGTCTGGTGGACAACCCCTTAGGACTCAAGGAAAGTGACATTTCACAGCCAGCCTTGCCATGGACCTGTTCTTCCCCTTAGGGAACCCACTGAGCATCACACTTTGTTACCAAATGAATACAGTAGCCCTTATTTTTAGATGTGATATATACTGTGGTGGACACATATAAATGTAGAAGAACATGGTAGTATCTGGATGGTTTAATATTAGGGGCAATTAGAGCACAAATGAATCTGCAGTCACGAGACGTCCACAGGGGCCCCTATGGTCCAGCCCCTCCTGTTGGGAAGAGCGTGAGCTAGGGCAGACCTCAGTTCCAGTCCCTGCTCTGCCTCTCAGCAGTGGGGTCTTGGGTGCCCAAGTAGACACCCTGGGCAACAGTGTCCTTATCTTAAAGGGCAGATAATGAAATCCACCTTGTTGCATTGTGTAAAAACTAAGTAAAATAACACACTGACCAGCACCTGGCAAGAGCAGATCCACGTAGTAGGCACTGAACTCTTGTTAGTGCCTCTCCCGCCACCTCCCAACGCCCTCAATGAAGTGGTGAATAATATTTGAAAGGTGAAACATTCCTGGACCCATGGGGCTCGTACAATCCTCCATCTGCACCCAACAGACATCTCCCATCGTCCTGCAATCCATTGAGAATTTGCCCTAATTTTCTATTATACCCAGGGCTCCTGATCATCCCCAATTATCTCCTCACTAGTCTCCCTTTAGCTCCTTTTCTCACACTCTAAATTACATAACTTGCAGTGGGAGCCAGATATTTGAATGGTATCAGTGAGAGATTTGAAGCAAATGTGACAGTGATGAAGTACAGAAAACTCTTGCAAATCAATGAGAAAAACACAAATACTTAACAGGGAAAAGGGGAAAGGACATACCAGACAATTTCACAGAATAAATATAGGTGGCTAATAAACATTTTTTTAAAAGTTCAACCCCGGTCTGTAACAAATGGAAATTTACCTGAAATGAATTTGGCCTACCAGTCTGGCTAAGGTTTTTAAAATAATACTAGTAGTGAAACTAACAACGAATATTCCTGGGCACTGTTGTGTTGCAACCACTGATATGGATTGCTGGCAAAACAGCTGCAAGAGAGATGTCTTCGTATCCTACCTGCAGGGTAATTTGGTACAAACCCTCTAGAAAGGAATTTGGCAACATGTGTCGAGAACCTTTAAAAAGTTCATGCCTTTTGACCTAGCAATTCCACTTCCTGGGATCTAGTCTAAGAAAAGAAGATGTGTTATGTGTTGTCAAAGATCCATGAGCAAGGATATTTATCACAGTGTAATCTGTGGCAGCAAAAACCTCAAAACAATCTATGTTCAGCAATAGGGGAAGAGTTAAATATGTACATATATACCCTTATACTATAATTAATATTGTGTTCTTAAAGAATAATTAATGGCATGAGATAATCCTGAGTCTGCCACCCACCCCTGAAATCTAAAACAGTAGCAATGGTCATCTGAGTTTGGGATTATTATTTTTATTTTCTTCTTCATTCTCTTCTATGGTTTCCAGATTTTCTCCAATGATCATAAGCCACTTTTATAACCAGAGGAAAAAAATTAAGAGTATGTGGCTATTGGAATGTAGGAAACTGTTGGCCAAGCGCATGAGGAAGCCCAGACTAAAGGCACAGTCTCAGGGCAGACAGATGCTGTTCCGCTCTCCGTCATCGCCCCTAGAACTCCCGGAGATGGCAGGCACTCGGCTCACAGCTGGAGCCGCAGGGCCTCAGAGAAGCATTCACAGCATCTGCAGGGCCTGGTCTATGAATAGCACGTCCCTGGCATACCAATTTGAGTGTTTATTCCCAGCCCCAGAGCTATCGAAATCTGCTCCCTATTTGATAGACACAAAAAATAGGGTTAAAATGGCATAAATATAGAATGGCACAGTCTGCCACCTCTAGGGGAAGCACACGCGCGTGCGCACACGCACACACCTCAGAGAATCTCTGGTTGAATTTTTAAAGAGGAAGACGGTTGCGGTGACAGCAAGGGTGCAGGTGTGTTCCCTGGTGTGTTTCAGGGATCCGCAGGAGCTGCAGCACAGCACGTAGCCTGGGACTTCTGCCCCAGAGGCCAGTGTCTCCTCGTGACAGCTCGGTGGCTTTGGTGAAATGAGCTGATGGTTCCTGTTGACTTTCCAATTTCTGCTCTTCAGAAGTCACCCCAGCTGAGTCTTTGCCTGTTAGGTGTTTTCCCCTTACCTGAGCCGAATTGGCTCCCGGGCCGCTGGCCCCCGGGCGGTTGCGTGTTCAGGGAACGAGCCTTCATCAGATTCAGAACAGAAAGTAATCAACCAGAGCCTACATTTGTGACTCCTCTATGACACCTTTTTATTCCAAAAAAAAATTGTCAGGAGAATTCAGTTGGTTATGTAGAAGCATTTGTCCCCGCGAATGTGGGTCAGCCCAGTCTGGGGTGGGCGGCCATCAGCTCCACTCTGGGACTCGCACAGCCAGATGCCCAGAGCATCCCTGAATTGCTGACGCATCGCTAACTGGGGTTTATGAAACCCATAAGGGCCTGATAGGAGAGCTTAACTGATTTCTAGAAGAGCTGATGAGTAAAGATTCGCACTGTGTTGCTGAGTGTCCCATGCAGCTACCAATAAAAGAAGCTTACAGAGTATTAGGACATTAGAGACTCAAGCTGGCTCTCCCCTGGGAGGCCCCTCAATTAAAGTGAGTCAGTATTGACTTGGCCCTCGGCTAAGCCGGTGGCTCTGAGGATTTGCACTTCACCAGCCTGCGCTGTTATCACACAACCTTCCCGGGCCTGCGGAGTCCTGTCCACTCCACAGGGTGACCCGCTATGGAAATGAAATGATAAGCAGCGCCTCATCAGATCCCACAGAAGAGCAGAGGGGGCAAAGCTGGGGGAGGCCAATGTCAGGAGGGGATAAAGCTAAGTGGAGCCAGGGAGGTACCTTCAGTTTCCTGCCCACGTCCATAGGGTACAAATCCCTCAGCAGCACACACATCACGATGAATTCGACGGATCTTTATTTTCATGAGGAAATTGGAAGGCCAGCCAGTTTCTTAAGAGATCTCCTAAGGTAGTGGTTTAAGAACACAAACCCGGCTGGGCGCAGTGGCTCACGCCTGTAATCCTAATACTCTGGGAGGCCGAGGCGGGAGGATCGCTTGAGGTCAGGAGTTTGAGACCAGCCTAAGCAAGAGCGAGACCCTGTCTCTACTAAAAAATAGAAAGAAATTAGCTAGACAACTAAAAATATATAGAAAAAAAAATTAGCCGGGCATGGTGGCGCATGCCTGTAGTCCCAGCTACTCTGGAGGCTGAGGCAGGAGGATTGCTTAAGCCCAGGAGTTTGAGGTTGCTGTGAGCTAGGCTGACGACATGGCACTCTAGCCCGGGCAACACAGTGAGACTCTGTCTCCAAAAAAAAAAAGGAACACGAACCCTAGTATCAGGCAGGCTTGTGTTGAAATGTTCAGTCCATCACTTACTGGAAACATGATCATGGGCTAGTTATGGGACCTCTCTAAGCCTGGTGCCCTCGGTTATAGTGTGGGACGATTGTGGTGCCAACTTCATGGGATTGTGAGGCTTAAATGTGTGTGTGTGTGTGATACAGTTAGCATGGTTCTGACCCACTCGGTGTAAGCCTTCAATAAGTAGCGCATATGAGTTATTTTTATTAATATAAGGCACTGTGAGTGATTTCACCAATAGAAATTCCTACTCGGGCACTTTACCTCTGTCTTCTCTCTCTAGCTCCTCATGCTTTAGACTCAGAAGGGCTGGAAGGCAGGGATTCTGTGATAGCTGGAGGTTGCAAATTGACCTGGGGCTAGTGACGCCAAGGAGATAATGATTGCCTGAGAGATTTATCATATTTATTTGCACCAAACAGTAAACATGACCAAAATCCTCAATGTGCCTGGGCACCAGTGCCTTCCTCCCAATCTGCCAAGATAGACTGTGCAGCTCTTAAGTTTTTGCAAAGCTGTGTGGGCAGCAGGGTGTCATAAATGTATGTTGGAAGAATCTGGATGAGAAAGGACTGGTGGTTTTTGTAGAAGTCACTTCCAGAGTGCTGGTTTTCCTTTTCAATAAATAGGGAGTGAAAACCAGTATTTAGTAAGAGGTTTACCCATCATCAGCCCTGACTGTCTGGGGCTGGGCCAGTCTTCTCAAAGCTTCTTTGGAAAGAATCTGTATTCTCAGGGTCACCCCATTCCCCCAGGGCCAGTCTGAGCTCCACAGGTGTGCAAAGAGTTCAGAAGCAGTGAAACAAAGCCCACTGCACTCTGCTCCTCTCGGCCCTCCAGCCATTTGGCCATACACGTTTTCTTCTCCAGGGCTTGTCTGTTGCCTTTAAGGGACTCTCATCCTTGGTGTTAGAGGCCTTTCATCCATGGGTACTATTAGTAAAATGATAAATCTGTCTTTTCTCATTGCAGATCTAGTAGCGCAACAAGAAGGCCCCATGTGGGCAGGTGACACTAAGCTGAAGAGGCCACCTCAAGACAGAAGAAACTTAGTCCCATCTTCACAGCTGATGACGACTGAGAACCCACCTGAGAGGGCCAAAAAAGGAGACCCGAGTGCTCTTTCCCAGAGCGAGACACATTCCGCCCTGTCCCAGGCCTTCCGAAGAACGAATAGTCCTCAGGTGTTGAGCAAGTCCTTGGGGCCACCACTCACATCCACCAGCATGGGAGGGCCAAGAAGGGCACCGTTTAGGTTCAGAGATGAAGATTTTTATCCCATTTTATCATTAAACACTGGAAGAGAAAATGCTGACACTGAAGAGGAAACCCATGGAGAAGAAGAACTTCTGTTGGTTGGTATGCACCCACACCATTCTCCTTCCAATCATATAAGAAGGAGATTTTGGGGGACATCAGCCACTCAGGCCAAAAATAAAACTGTTGAAGAAAATAGTGAAAAAAATCGCAGAGCCAATTCTTTAAGAAGAAGTGAGCCCAATCGTGGTTCGTTAAGAATAGGCGACACAATGGAGCCAGTGACGAAGCCGCCTTCCGTCGGGCAAAGGTTGTTCCAAGACCCCGGGCTGCTTCATGGGGAGTCTGCTGAAGAGAACGACAGTGGTGGCGGTGAAAATACGACCTTTCATTCATGGGACACCAAATCCGAACCCAGGCGAGATGATGGTCTCAACGCTGAAAATATATCTAGTGATTGTATTTCTATGGAAGATAGGCCTGGTGCCCATGATTATGAAAGAGATTGGCAGGACTATTTAAACAGTTCTAGAAATTCTCTTGACTACTGTCTTTCTGATC